GGCAGAGGGGACATGGGGAGGACGTGGCTGGGGCCTTATGCCCTGCATCTCCCAGGGGGAGGACCCGGGCTAGTTTGCTTGGAAGCTTTGAAACTTGTGGTATTGGATCGGGACTTCATAAAGGTCCCTAAGAATCTTATTGGCTTGTTGGGATGCAAATGAACTTTTTAGCCTGGTGTCAGCTCTCAGTCTGTTTCACATAGACTGTGCTACACACACACAGCACAGCAAAACAAAACGAGAGGGAAACCAAAGGTACTGGTTTAAATCAACTGCTGATTTATTTGTTCCCGCTCTGTGGTCAGCAGTGCAGGGTCAGGTCCTGGGCGAGGCTGGCTGAGTTCACTGACATCCAGGCCCCGCTGGGAGGATCACATGGCTCAGAGCTGGCTGGGCCCGAGGCCCTTGTTCCCAGTCTCAGTGACAGAGGTCAGTTGGGCTCCCCATCTTTCCCTCCAGTGGCCCATCCCTGAGGCCGGCTTAGACTTCCTCCTGGCATGGGGGTCTCAGGATAACTGAGCCCCTAGCTCGGCAGATGGCTTGGAGAGACAGTGCTGGGTGCCCGGGAACTGCTTAGGTCTCTGCTGGTGTCTGGCACTCTGTGCCCCACGGGTCACAGCAAGTCACTGGCCAAGGCCAGAGGACACGGGCTCTGTAGAAAGTCATGACCCCTGGCTGTGTGAGTTCCTTGGAGCCACTAGTACCTAGGGCTCACTCAGAAAATGAGCTTTTTTTTTTTTTTTTATCCTTTTTCCATTGTGAAAGACTAATTCAATATTTTGTGTAATTAGGATCCCTGGTTGCTTAATCTTCTTAAAAGGAACTGTGGCCAGGTTCCATTGCAAAAGATTAGATAGGCAAGTGTGTCACTGCAATGCAGTGGTGCTTAATTTCCATAAAAGATGCCATCGAGACAGGCTCATTTTTCCCAAAGGAGTAGCATGGCATATTACACCACATAAAGTACATTTTTAGATCTCTATGCTAAACGTAGTCTGCTCTCCACTTGTCAAATGCAGTTTGTTAAGAAAACAGCAAAGAGTCAATTTAGTACCAACCCCAGGACTAACACATCTCCAACACTGTTGACATTTTACATGCTAGTTTCAGTTAAAGAGTTCATATCTCTTTTTGACTTTTCAATAAGTTCACGCACTTAACATTACTGTTAGCTGGCGAGGAGTTTTCAAAAATATGTGATGCTTTCTCAATTTGGATTTTCCCTCAGGTTAAGATGCAGGAAGACAGGAGGGTGGAGCTGATCTTTCTGCACCTTAAGCTCTCTCGTCTCTTGGACACAATGATTGCTGTGTTTTCTTCTAATGCTAATATGTTTTGGGTTTGAAGTTACATGCCATACTCTGGTTAACTTCTAGAAAAATATAAAATATGCACTTGGAAAAAAATGAAACAACCTTCTACTGCTTCAGTGTTCCTTCAATTAAGTGTTTTAGTTATTGGTGTCAGGTTAAAAGTGGTGGGTCGGGGAAATGCAGGTGCTGGCCGATGTGACCGTGGCTGCTGGCCTTCGCAGGGACACTACTGCTTCCTGAGCAGAGGAACACTGTGTGCAGATAACCTCCAGTATGCTGGGCCCAGGCGCTCTGCTGTGAGATATGCAAGCTGTTGGCACCAAGTTTTCTTTTGTTTTTTTGACACAGGGTTTTGCTGTGCAGTTCAGGCTGGCCTTGAGCTCACACTGTAGCCCAGGCTGGTCTCAAACCCACAGTGATCCTCCTGCCTCAGACTCCCGAGTGCTGGGATTGCAGGCGTGCAGGATGACAGTGTTGGAGTGCCTCTTGCCGACCGAAGGCTCTGTCTCGTGCAGGACCCTTCCCCAGGGATTCGGTGCTGTCCCTTGCTGCACTGTGTGGCAATCATCATTGGACTTTGCTCGCATCTGCTGTACTTTATAATACACTTACCTTTCTCTATCTAAAATCGGAATGTGGCCAAACATTGCCATTATTTGGGAATCTTTAAAATACATCAAGGCCTTGGATGAGCCATAAAAATTTTAGCTTGCGGTCTGGGTGTTAGGATTTTCAAATATCCTCCAGTAATCCTGAGATAAGCCAGGTGTGAGAACCCCCAGACTAACGACCTTTTCTTGGACTCCCCTCTTGTATCTACCTTTCACCACCGTGACTGAGTCCTGGCTTTCTCCGTGGTTTGACGACCTCCTCCCCTACCCTCCGCTGTTGCATGCTTTGGTAGAGCTGTTAGTATCTTGGTCCCCCAGTACCATGGCATCCACAGGACAAGTGCTCAAAAGCAGTAGTGGGAAAATGAACCTGTGAGGCACGCACAGGGTGTGACGGAAACTACGGCGAATGATTACATTTTTACAACTTTACTGCGGTAAGACCACACGGTGCCACAGGCCCCCTTGCAACGCTCCTTTGGCTTCTGAGATGCTTATCCCATCCCACTCGTGCTCTCTGCCACAGCCCTGGAAGTCCGCCTTCATGAGAGTCTCTAGGTGTGTTGTTGTGGCTGCCTCAGTGGTCTGAGTCAGTATAAAATACTCCCTTTCATGGTCGTTTTGACCCGGGGCAGAGCCAGCAGCAGCCTGGACCAGAGCAGAGGGAGCTGGCCGGCGAGGCCACGCCGTCTGCTCTCACGGGGCTGCCCTCTGCCGGGTGCGCACAGAGCAGCCCTCACTGTAATTCCTGTCATGCTTTCTTTAGACGTCAGCGAAGAGGACTCCCACACCTGCTTCCCACAGGGGCAGAGTGGTGGGACAACTGTACAAGGAGAGGGGAGGATCTGAGGGGGCTTCATGGCAATAGGTCTTTCACATAAGAAATTTTAAAAAGTTAGATATTTGCCATGTGTTTTGATCCCCCGTATTTGATAGGATCGAACAACATCAGATAGATGTATGCACTCCAACCATCCCCAAATACTGCAGATAAATATGCTGACACAAACACTTTAAGGGTAAAGGAACACTTTATCTTTCTTTGGATTAGAAAGATTTTTGCTTCACTGACTTTTGGGCAATAGAAGGATAATTACTATTTACTCAAAAAAATCCCCGCAATGAAAACAATTGAATTTCTTGCCACCTCTTTTATATGGGTGCGGTGTATGTTTGTCAAAGCCAAAAATAAACAGAAACTTCTCAGGCTGCTAATCCACCTCAGCACGCAGCACTGATGGATTCGTTCTGGGTATTTTGTAAGTTTTGGGGCTGATCTGAGTGCGAGAGAAAGGTTGCTCTGTGTTCCTTACAACCCAAGCTTATGCAGCCCTCCCCATATCGGATGGATTCGTTTCTGTTTGTCTTTCCTTAGCAAAACAGAAACAATTCCTTATTGGCAGGGTGGCCAGCTAATCCAGTTTGTGTGGGTCTCAGGTCTGTCTTGGACCTCAGGTGGTATAAGCCTGTCACCTGAGTGGATAAGGTAAAATTTAATCAGACTTTAAGGAGACTTTGGGCGCCTGAATGAAAAATAATTGAAAAATCCAACTCTCAGCAGATTAGACCTAAACTTGACTACAAAGGAAAGTTAGTGATTATTTTCTGGTTCTGGTATTACAGTTTCCCCCTCAGCTTCTCACACTCCTTTATTGGATATTCCCCAAAGGAGTTTTCTAGAAGGGCCCAGGTTTTACCATGGAAGCCTACAGACAGAGCTGTCCACTTACATTTTCTGCACGTCCAGCCGCCCGGGCCACTTACCATGCTTGACGCAGGGCCAGCACTATGTGAAGAGTGATTTCACCGTGTTATTTAGGGACAATGACAAAGTCAGAAGTCAGTACACGTGCAGCAGTGTTTCTGGTGGCTTCAGTGTGGTTTGTTTGATTCGTGCATGGGGACTAGCAGATACAGAGGGCTGACCATACCTTTGCTAGATTTCAAGAAAGAGATAAGTGTCCAAAATGGTAGAAAAAAATGGGTTTTAAAATAGAGAAAAAGGGGCTGGGGATTTAGCTCAGCGGCATAAGTGCCTGCCTTGCAAACGTGTAGTCGTGAGTTCAATCCCTGATACTGATAAAAAAAAAAATAGAGAAAATCACCTCAGGCTAACACCACACAGAAACCTCGCAGAAACCAATGATACGGTTGATTTCAGATTACTGGGGCTGCTTTTCCACCTCATAAGCATCAGAAACATCAATTGCTGCCTTAAAGGGGAGACAAGCCTGGTTTTAACAGATGTCCAGTTCAGAAAACATGAAAATCAATCCCCTCCAAGAGACATGGATTTTAAGATGTTGGACAGCAATGGATCTCAGTGATGCCACTTCTAGTTTAGCAGCTATTACAAGATCTGAAAGACCCAGGTCTAGACTCAGAGGCACCAATTCAGTGGGCATTGAGTAAATCTCTTTACTGCCCTAGGCCTCAGTGTATTTGTCTGTAAAATGAGAGCTTTTGACCATCCCATGCCTGTAGTCTCTTGACTTGTTAATATCCTGCAATCCCATGTGTAGTCTCCTGGTGATGACTTGGTGGAGCTGTGGATTTTTATCTTGGTGAAGTCTCCTGGGCCTCCTTTCTCGATTTGTCCCTCACTCCTTCCATTAAAAGAAGCTGGAGAGCCTGGGAAACCACATCTCATCTCTTGGTTGCATAGCTTGAAGAAACAATCTGTCCCGTGTTTGGATGCTGGAGATATGTGTGACACCTTACGATCCCTCAGGTTCTTTCATGGACAATGCTCTGCGAACCTTTGGAGGGAAAGTGTGCTCGAGGCTCTGTCTTGCTTTGCAGTGCAAGAAAACATAGCATGCAGTGTACACAGTTTTACTGGCTACCACCCGGATGCACCTAATAGGAATCTGAAGGCTGCAGGAGGCAAGCAGGTCTTTAGACTCATAAATTGACCTTTAGACTTGAGAAGTTCAACAGTGTATCAAACGCGATAGAGGAAGACTGATGAGACTGTGATAGAGAAAGTACGAGAAGTTTCTGAGTCGATAACTCTAAGGATACTTTACAGGGCTCCCCCATCAGTCTCTCAGCAAAGACTTTCATTGGAAATGAATAATTTTACAACAGGCAGAAACTTTTATTGGCCTCATGCGTGCTTTTGGATCTCATTCACTTGAGAAAGAACTATCCTTCCGTTGACACTCTCCTGGGTGATGGCCTTGATCTTTGGAGCTGCAGATGCTGTGGGAAAGAGCAGCGAAGTGGTCACTACCATGCTTTCTACATCATCCGAACTATATTCTTGTTTGGTTCCCTAATCTATTCCCTTGGAGCTTCACTGTACCTCCAAAATGATCACTAAGCAATATGGCAGACCCTGATGGCTGGCAACATGGAGGGCCCTGATGGCTGAGCAGTATGGAGGGCCCTGATGCCTTAGCAACATGGCGGTCCTGATGGCTGAGCAACGTGGTGGACCCTGATGGCTGAACAATATGGCAGACCCTGATGGCTGAGCAACATGGCGGACTCTGCTCCAAAGAATTTTTCCTCTACCCTCAGAATTTTTTCTCTACCCTCCTGCCAGGAAATGAAAGTCTGTGGACAACAGTGTCTTTTGGAGATGAAGATGTGCATGCAAGGTGTTCCTGATCCAGATGCTGGTCCTGGCCACATGCCTCTGAGGAGGGCTGTGCGGCTCTAGCATTGCAGAGGCTGTTACCTTGAAGAGGTCTATATGCCATTTGAAACACCATATTTTAAGACCTGGAAACCACGCTAGGTTGGGTGAGAGACCAGGGACGTTTATCAGGACTGCTGTTCTCAAGGGTATGTTTTATGTGAATAAGTCTTATTGACCATCAATCAATCAATTCTAAACCCTAGGGATGTATGACAGAGATAAAAGAAAGCTCTGTTAAAAATCAAACCTCTCCTAGAGGAGATTGGGCTATTTTTATGACTTACTGTGTTTCCCATCCCTGGGCTTAGGTAAAGTGAGGGTGAAGGACCGTCTGTTGGATTTTGCATGAAGGTAGCAGGTCTATAACTATGGGGCCCACTCTGATTCTCTGAGTTGCTGATACCTGATAACAATTTTATCCCAGATGCTTGAGGAAGTGCTGCATGTTCTGCATTGGGCTCTTCTATAGCTTTTTTGGAGATGTTAATGGTAACCTGGGAAAATAGTGTACCCAGGCCTAAGGTGCTTGGGGTGGTGGTAGGGCACCTCCAACTCTCTCTGGCCCTGGAACACATCTTTCCTAAGACACTACTCAGATCTCATGGGGCCCGGGGATACAGCTCAGTGGCACAGATCCTCCCTGGCAAATGTGAGTCATGAGCTCAATTCTTAGTACCAAAAAAACTCATGAAACATTGGTGTAAAACAGAATTGATGGGAACTTCTGTGGTTTGATTTCTTAGGGGTTTAATAAATAGCCTCCGTTACTTAATAGAGACGTAAGACTATTGTTTATCATCTTAATTTTTTCATTGTTTGCATGTAACTTTCATATCGAGGTTAAGCATCCCTTATCCAAAACTCTGAACTCTAAATTTCTCCAAAATGAGGATTGATAAGCTGGCACAAGTGGGACATTCCACACCATAAAACTTTGCTTCATAAAAATGTTTAAAATATTGTATAAAATTACCCACGGGCCATATGTATGGGGTGTGTATGAAACATGAATGAATTTCATGTTTAGACTTGGCTCATAAGCTCAAAGTATCTCAGGGTGCTCACTGAAATAATCCAAAATTAAAGAAAAAAGTCTGAAATCAGAGACACTTCTGATCCCAAGTGCTGTGGGTAAGGGATGCTCCACCTGCAGCCATGGGAAAGGCAGTGACAGCTCACCATGTTCTGTGTTACTGAGTTTGTTAAATTAACTGAAAACTTCAGCCATCTGGGACATTTAGGGGTACAGCAAGGGTCATCCCACTCCGGAATGGATAAAAACATCAGTAGATCCAAACAGTGAAAGAAATTTTTACCTTGCCCGCTGGACTTAGATTCTTCCATCGCCCTATACAAATGAGAAGAGTTAAAACCCACTTTAGTACTGGCAAAGTCACCACCTCTCCGGAAGAGCCCGTCTCCGCGTGCTGCTTGTAAATCCTCAGCTCTTTAATGGGGATAATTGTCTGCGCTTGGTATGATGAAGGTCATGAGCTCACGGAGGACCTGGATCTGCCTCCTCTCAACCTTGGGCAAGGGAGTTCTTCCAAGCCACCCTCTCCGTCCTGCCTGCTGCGGGCATCTCTTTTCCAGGGTCCCTTCTAGTTTGAGGTCTCAGCCTGCAACCCCAGAATTTCTCGGGCTGGCTTATGTTTGGTCCCAGGACATCTTATTTATGCATTTTGAAAAACTTTCTAATTCTTTTTTTTTCAGTCATAGAATATAGCGTCCTTTCTATGACCAGAATATCCAAGAATATCAAACTGAAAGTCTAAACAGTCTTACCATTTAGACTCTTTCCCTGCTTTTAGGTTAAAACATTACTGCTACAGTTTTCAAGTTGGTATGTGTTTTTTCCTAGAGATTTTAACATGTTCATCTTAACGGATCTAACGGATCTGAGGACAGAGAGGACATCCAGGGAGGAGCAGCCTGTTGGTCTGTGCTTGCTCTGGGGATCTTCAGAGGCAGTGGGCATCAGCCCCTGCCCCTCTGGAGCTACACCCAGGAAGGTGCCCAGGAGCACGCCCGTGCTGGGGCACACCTGAGCTGCCTGCACCCGGCCCGCCTTACCCCTCGCTGTCACCCTCCAGCAGCTGGCGGTAGGTGGCGATTTCCTTCTCCAGGTGGGTCTTGATGCCCAGCAGCACCTTGTACTCGCTGTTCTGTCGCTCAAGATCGTGGCGAAGCTGCTGCAGCTCCTCTTCGTAGCGGGAAATGATTCGCTGCATGTCCTGGAGCTGGCAGGAGTAGCGGGACTGGGTCTCTGAAAGCATGCTCTCCAGGGCGGATTTCTGAAAGAAGAAGGCATTGTCCTTTGCTAGCTGACCAGCAGCCTGACTGCTCAGTGGGGTGGGCTTACTGGGTGTGGAGCTTTGGCCACTGCTGGGCTATTTGAATTGGTGTCAGAGCTGGGACTTCTGACATCATTTTCGGGGTGTAAAGCCATTGCATCAGGGAGCTCCCAGGAACTCTGTCCTGCTCCTCCAGCATGGATGGTCCCTGCTCAGCGTTTGGGATCAGGCATGTGCGTTGCCTGGCTGCAGACTGATCCACCCCAACGCTTCCGGTTTGTCTCTGGCCAGACGGAAATTCCCCAAGGGAGGCAGCACCTGGGGCTTTGCTCAGCTGTCTCCTGAACAGTGAAGCCCTTCCAGGACAGCCTACAAGGCAGCTGTCCACCCTGCCACCTCGCCTCCTCCTGCACTGCCCTTTCTTTGCAGCGGTCCTCTGTGTCTCACACGCCATTTTACCTCCGTGGTTTGCACATTTACTGCTTGTTCCCCTCATGACTTCAGCACCCAACTCTCAGTGCTGAGTAGTGTCACGTAGCAAAGGTGTGAAGGTGTCCACACGCCTCGCTGGCATCACAGAGAGGTGGGACAGAGCTGTGTAGTCTTTAAAGCAATAAAACACAGTGCTGTGTAGTTTCTGAGCTTGGCATTGTCATCATGGCTATCACGGATTTGTAAGCTGTCACATTTACCATGTGCATCTCTACACCCATGAACTAATTGTGTCCTCTAGAGACCGAAAGGGGAGCAGCACTGAGAGGTCACGCTGGTGACAGACCTGAAGAGCCTGAAGGCAGGGAAGGACCCATAGAAGGAAGTGAGCCAGGCATGGCATCAGGATTTCTCTGAGTGGAGCTGCAGGATAGCCTGGCTTTCAGTGGAGAGATTATGGGGGTCTAGAAACTCCCACCCTAGCATTGTGTGGTTTCACCACTGGTGCCTTACTAGTTGTGTGGCTTTGGCCAATTTCCTTAACTGTTTGGAGCCTCAGTTTCCTCATCTCTAAAATGGACACCTAAAGGCCTGCCTAGAAAGGTAATGTGAGGACTAATGGTATTTAATAGAATGAGCTGCCTCACCCAACATCTGGTGTCCTCTTTACATGATGACTGCAGCTCTTGCTACCATCCCTATGGGAACAAGATCTATGGACAGTGGGCAGAGGGGCCCGCAGGGAAGTGGGGTTGATGTCTGGATGGTTTCCTGGAGGAGGTGACACGGGACTCGGATGGTCCTAATCTCCCCCACTCCTCACCTTGTTGTGCTGAGCTTGCAGATCAATCTCCAGGGCCTGGAACGTGCGCTTCAGCTCATGGATGTCACCCTGGGTGCCCTTCACAGCAGCTGGGCTGGCCACCTCCTGGGACATGGCTGTCGACTGGGAGACCGGCACAGACAGAGGGGTCAGCACTGCAATCCCATGGAAACGGGCGTCCGGGCAGTCTGCCCACCTCTCCCTCTCACCTGCTCTCTGAACCAAGTGTCGAAGTCCTGATTCTTCTTCTTCATGATAGACTCGTACTCCTGCCTCATGTCCTCCAAGACCTTGATCAAATCTTCCCTGGGAGTCGCGTCCACCTTCACGCTGACCTTGAAGTCACTGGGCATGGGCTTCCCCCTCAGGTCCTGTTCCATAAGACAGAAAGGAAACAAAATAGCGGCCAGGGCAAACAGAAGCCTGGATTGTTGCACTCATGGGCAGCAGTAAATGGATCCTGAAAAAACCAAACCAAACCAGCCAGCCCAGGTGGTGTGATTGCTCTCCCTGGTGTGGTTTGGTTTCTCAATTCTTCTTTTTGATAACACAACTATATACTTTTTTTCTCTAGTAATTTTATAAAATAAAGATTAGCACAAGACAGGTACCAGCATGGCTTCTTTGATGACTAACTTAATCCCTGGTTAAAATACTTCAGAGACAACTGTGCTAGCACAGTGTGTGTGCTATTCCTGTCTAGAAAATGTTTCTTGGTGGAACAACTGTACAATTAAGTGGTTGCAAATTTCAGGTTTTAGGCCAATGCTTTTGGGAAGCAGTTCAGTCATGAGAAACCAAAAGGTAGAGACAAGCTTTTAAAATCCTCTACCTTCTGCCTTTGGAGAGTTGACGCCCATAGGATTCCGCGAAAACCCAGCACCGGCAGGAAAGGTTTTAATTAAGACATCGTCTAACCAGCTTTTCAGAAACCAGCCTCTTTGATGTTCAGAAGCAACTTCCATTTGCCTAAAATGGAGATTGTTTTTCTATCGTTTTATCAGCCTCAGCTTCTTGAGATGAATGGTTAATGCTTCTGGAAATCAAGATTCTTAATTTTTGCCACCAGCCGTGTTGACTTTGGCCCACGGTACATCCTCTTTGTTCTCTGGTTCCCCAGGTTGTGTCCTGGGTCAGTGCAGGAAGCCCAGAGCTAGTCTGGTGTAGTGTTAACAAGAGCCCTGGCTAATTCATTGCTGCTGATGTTCGTACTTTGGTGGTTGTTTTTGACGTCTGAATCTATAACCCTAAAACTGGAGAAGTTAGGTATTTCTGTTTTACTGCAGGAGAGGACCTTAGGACTGGAATTCAGGTGCCAGATTCCTCTGTAGCTAACAAACGCCCTGGTGTGCACAGGTCGAGAGCAGAGCCTGCTGCTGGGACACTTGGCCAGTCTTACCTGTTCATGTTGCTTCTTCATGAGAATTAACTCTTTCCTCATCCCCTCCACCTCCTGCTCCAGGTCTGTCGTGACGATGGTCAGGTCATCCAGGGTCTTCCGCAGGGCTTCCACTTCAACCTCCAGGTCTTGTTTTAGGGAGTGCTCGTTCTCGTACCTTTGTGGAGAAGGAAGAAAGAACCCACCTGCTGTCAGGAGGCTCTGCCAGGATTCTCGTTGGTGTAGAGGTGGACCTCAGACTTTTTAAGTTTAATCGGATTGTGTGAACACGACACAGGGTGACTGCTGTGGCTACCTCATGCTGTGCTGTTTTTCCAGGGTGGTCAACTTTTTAACCGAGCAGGGAGAACAGAAGCATAAATAGCCTCTCCCCACCTGGATTTCACAGCCCTTAGTGTTCTGCCAAAGGTTCTTCCTCCAAGTGCATGGCTTAAGTTTTCCAAAGCAAATGATGGGCAGTACAACATTTTAACACTCTGTCTTCTGGGGTGCATTTATCGAGACGAAGATATTTGTCTAAATAATCAAAATAAAATTATGCTATGTAAAAACCAGCAATTCCAGGCTGAAGACTTAGCTCAGCAGCATAAGCACCTTCCTGGTAAGCACAAGGTGGTGAGTTTGATCCCCTATACTAAAAAAAAAAAAAAAAAAAAAAAAAAAAATCCACAATTCCCCCAGTATCACCTGATTCTTGATTCATATTCAAACTTCCCATGGGTCCTTGTGTTTCATATCTGGTTTGTTTCAACCAGAGTCCATTCGAGTACACACAGTATTAGCCATGCTATGTTTTCATTATAATTCGTTCAGGTTTTAGTTGTGGGTTTGATGAGGTTTCCTTTTGGAAAGCACAGGAACCCCCAGGTCACACGGCCCTGCGCAGAAGGAACTTACTTCAGGCTGAAGTCATCCATCGCCAGCCTGGCATTGTCCATGAGGACCAGGATGCGAGCGTTGGCCATCTTGCCGTCCACTATCTGCAAAACAGAGTCAGATGGTCCCGCTGGAGGGGCCACGGATGCCTCTGTCCCCCGGCTCCTGGACCTGAGCTCATCAGCATAGACCACCTCTCTGCGCCAGAACACGAGAGCCAGGGCTGAGTGTGTTTATTGAGTGCGTAGGGAGTGCTGGCCTGGCAGGATTTCTAGCAAGCGTCCGGCCTGCAGCTAATTTCCTCACTGCTTTTTATGTTGAGTTTTGACAAGTCCAGGCTGCGGCCTTGAGAAAGAGGCAGGGACTGCAAACGTTCAAAAGGGCAAAGGTAGCTCGAGGGTCCTCAGGCGTCTTAGTGTCTCCCTAAGCTCCTTGCACCCAAAGACGTGTAGAGTGCAGGCTGTTAAGTCTTTTCTGAGCATGAGTGTTAGGTCAGTTCTCCTAAAATGCCGTAACTATCATTTTAGATGAGCATATTCGTACTTGGCAATATATCTGTATTTCTGGTCATTATTAATGAGCAAAAAAGTTAAGTGTCTAAATAATCATTATAGCAATTCATTTCCCCCCACAGTGTTAACAGCCATAGACAGGTGTAAGAGAAGAGTGTAGTGTGTGTGTAAATTAACAGAGCAGTCTCAGAGTGAAAGACACATCACCACTAACCCCCTGTGAGCCTCCCCTCACCTCCAACGCACTGATTCCCTCTCGGTCATTTTGACTTTGGAGAAGCACCGGAAGCCACATGGTGCAGATCCAGTGAAGAAGGAGAACCAGGGGCTGGAGATTTAGCTCAGCGGCACAAGTGCCTGTCTGGCAAGCACAAGGTTGTGAGTTTGATCCCTGGTACAGGGAGGGAGGGGGACGAGGAAGGCAGACAAGCACACTGCGGTTTTTACCACCTGGCCTTTCTGCGGGTGGCCCTTGGCAGGAGCATAGTCACTGTATTTTTGATCATATTTCATAATGACGTGCACAAGGGAGGATTTCCAGAGCTGCTTCAGAAAGGGGCAAGAACTCAGATAAGCAAGTGCCCAAAGAGGGAGTGGGGAGGGTTTTGACAGGGTTCGTAGTGACCTGTCTTTTGCTATGATATGCTTTTGAGAGTGTAAGCATCCCCCTACAGTTTAACCCTCCCCTTGTATGTAACTTGCAGGTGTGTGTGTGTGTGTGTGTGTGTGTGTGTGTGACCCAGTCATAGCTATTAAAACATTTATTGGAGAACCAGCGGCTCCCTAGATCCAGCCAACGTGGAACTTAGGCAGTTGCACAAGGAAGCAATTCACCCACCCTCTTGGTAAGCAGCCCTGGTGTGGGCCGGGAGGAGACCCAGTCAGTGGCTCCCGTGAGCCTATGGTGGGCAGGCTGAGAATCAACCCCCCCCCCCGCCACAGCATTAGCACCTGGGGCCAGAGGTCTGAGCATCTCTTGGGAGGGTGACCATATGCAATATGGCAAATATGGGGATTTCCTTCCATCTTCTGTTTGAAAGTAAAGGTAGTTTTCACTGTTATGTTTTGTAATGATTGTCTTGCTGTGTTCAGTATTCTCTCTCAATTGGTTTTATAATGTTCTGTATTTGGTTTGATTTTGGTATATCTAATTGACTGGACAACTCTTGTGAAGATAACGAGATATACTACGGTACCTGTTACTGCCATCCCAGTATCCTGCTTTGAAGTTCTGTACCAGTTTCACTGCATTGTCTTGATTGGCTTTGTTGTGTTGTATTTTTACTATCTTCAAAATAAAATAAAAACAAACCCCACATTTACGGAGTTGTTTATCATCTAATAAAGGTGCTAAGGAAGCTTTAACCCTATTATAGCTTCCAGTGAAAGATTTTACCTGGATGGGCATATGGTTTTTTTTTTTTTTGCATAATTTAAAAGAAAAACTCTGTGGGGCTTAGTTTTGATAGTTGTGCACACAGTGTAGCCGGAGAACTAGTGTGCCTCGGCGATGGCACTGTCTCTGGAGGCATGGGGTGGAGGTATTTCAGGACCGTCACCACACAGTGCTTTTGCAGTCAAGGACTGTGCCAAGCTACATACCGGGCTGCTGCTTTGGTTCTGGCCATCCACGTGGTCTTGGGCAGGTCCCCTGCTGTGTTTCAGGTCCACAATTTGTTATTAAATAGGGAGCTCGTGCCAGCGTTGGTGACCTTGGAGGTCCCCTGGCTAAACTTATATTATTTAGTTGGAGCTTCAAGAGTCCTATGATGTTGCTGTTGCATCTACAGAGCTAATCCTGTTATTCAGCAAGAGTTTTCCAGGGCGAGCTGTAGCCCAGTACAAAGACACCATCAAAGACTGGTTCTAAACAGAACGTTGCTGATAACTTGGAGTTTGGGTCACAAATGCCCAATAGGGGTTTTTGGGAGCCAAGAGGACGCCCCCCTGGGACCTGAAGAGCAGGGCTGGCCTTGCACTCCTGTTCCCACAGGCTGAACGAACCTGGCGGAGCCTCGGTTTCCTCTGCCATATAATGGGAATAAGAATCATTACTCCTTCAAGGAGTTATGAGGGTTAGAATCCTCACAGGAAAATAACTTTGTAAAATAGCATATTCCTGGCATACCATAGATACTCTCAAAATCATCTGAAATGGAATCAGTTCAGAAAAATATAAATAGAGCAGTTTTTAAAAAAATCTAACTTTTATTATTAAAGCTAATGTCGGCTTATGAAAAGCCTTAGGGTTTTTGTTTGCTTTTTTGCTTAGTTATTGCTTTTGCAGTATTGGGGGTTGAACCTAGGGCTGAGTTACACCCTTGGACCTTTAAAAATATTTTTTATTATGAGTCAGAGTCTCAATAAGTCCCTATTTGCCCGGGCTGGACTCAAGCTTGAGATCTTCCTTCCTGCCTCTTCCTCCCAGAGTGCTGAGAGTACAGGTGTGCCCACCACGCCTGGCTAATCCCCAAGTTTCATGAGGCATCCTCTAGCCTCCACTGTTCATGGTGGGAGGGGGCCAGGCTGGCTGCCCCACTCCACTTCCTGCTTCCTTTGGGGATCAGGTTGCTTCCTGCAACCTCTTCCTTTCATAAGGGACAGCAGACATGTCCTGGTCACCTGTCTACAATGCTACTTTGGGGGATTCTGACCACAGCCTTTCCTTCCAAGCCCTTTATTCTTCACATTAGCCAAACTCCTGCAAAACAGAACGTAGCTCCACGTCTGGCAGCCCAGGACCCTGGGATAAGCCTCGTTCACACAGGTGCTGAGAAGCCCTGCAGGACACGGACTCTGAGATGGTGGTCAGCACCTGAGAAACCTTGCACCATGCCCAACACAGGACCAGGAGAGCAAAACTACCGCTGGCCAGCTTCTTTGGCCTTGCTGAGCTAAAACGATGACCATGCTCTCTGCAGGGTCCACCTCAAGGGCTGGAATCTCCAGCCAGTGTTCTAGGGGTTCACCAGGGTGAGCTGTGGGTGCATTTTACATAAAGCACCTGTAAAACTGTTTCCCACTCTTGGGCGTACTTGATACGATATTATGCTGAGGCCACCACTCCTGAGCTATCCTCCAGGGTCATAAGTGGATGAAGGTGGATTGGGAAATAACACACGAGGCACAGGTCTTGCACTGTGCCTTGTAATTATTGCCTGGCTTTTCCCCAAGGCCCTGAGTTCTTTTACAATCTCGCCGGTGCGTTAGCACAGCACACGTGCTCCAAACTGACCAAAATGTCAAAGATAGCAGCCCTGAGAGTCATTCTGGGAATTTTCTGGATGATATCCCTATAGCTTCTGTCAAAATAATTGGATTAATTTTGAACGCAGTTTTTTTCCCTAGACTTTTAGAGCACCATTTAATACTCTAAAGTACGAGCAGAGCTCACACCTGCGTGGGGTATCTCATGATGACCCAGGAAGGGGTCAGCTCCTCCTAAGAGCGGGAGATGAAAATGTTCTCATCTGGAAACTGGTGTGTGTGTGAGTGTGTGTGTGTGTGTGTGTGTGTGTGTGTGTGCTGAGGACAAAAACAACCTCACCCTCAAACACTTGAGTTGCTTTCTTCAAACCTCCAGAAAATGCAGCCTCTAAAGTGAGCACTCAGAAAAGTTTGGAACTCAAAGCAGAGGGAGAATTCAGAATGCTGGACCCTCTGGGGGGTGAGGTGGGGAAGTTCACCCCTCCCTCATAAATGATCCCACCTGCCACCCTTGATGCAATATTTCTTGATTTGGTTCTAAAGAATTTAGACAACCATGTGGTCTCCTTTTTCTCCTGTAAGTTGAGGATAAGAATACCAGACTCTTAGGCTTTTGAGACCCCACTAAGATGTGTGTGATGTACTGTGTGGATACAGTGCAAGTACTTTGCACGATCTTTCCTAAGAAGATACAAATAACACTGCCTCTGGGGCAGGCCGGCCATCGGGGTGCTGAGGTCTCCCACCTCTGCCTCTGGCTGGTGCCTTTGAATGGCTGTTTCCCTTTCCTGAGCTCTGATTTCTAAACAGTTGTGGGAATAAAATCCGATGACAGCAGTTTCATCCCCGTAGAAAGCTCTTAGCACAGACATGTGTGTTAAATACTCAGTGCGATGCCCAGCATTGCAGAAGGGCTGTGTGGTCAGCTCCTCCCTCCTCTCCTGCCCCTTCCTCCTGCCTTCTGCTAGCTGCTGCTTCGACCTCTTCTGTCCTTTGCAGTCCTGCTCTCAGCTCTCTGCCTGCAAATACCTCCTTTTCCCTCCATCCTAAAACCAAAGCAATTTTATTAAATGAAAAACAGCGAGGATTGGTGAGTCATTTCGATTTTCAGCAGAGACAACCAGCCGTGCACTCTGTAGTTAAGGTAATGACACAGTCAGTTATCAGGCTGATTATTCAGTAATTAGGGGTCATTACAAGGACGGATTTATATTATCTTGATTGGTCCTACATTCAAGCAAGCATGACCTGGGTGTTGAAAAATAACCTGGTGTAATATTGGAGGTCTGTGATGCCCTTCCTGGGGTAGATCACAATCTTACACTGATTTCCTGAGACTCCTTTGTGTAAGACGGAAGTTACACACCGTTTACAAATAACCGATGTCATTGCTGAGTTTCCTCTGCCTCTAGCTGTGTATCCCACAAAGCTGAGCCTGGATTGTGAGCTGTTTGGCTGACAGGTTTTGTATTTTTTGAAGCTTGTCTCCTTAGCCCATTCCAGCAATCAGATTTTAAAAACAGTATTCATCTTGCCTGGTCCCTCCCAGCATTTTATCTGCTGGCCGCCCCCAAAAGAAACACCCACAGATGTTGCCAGGATATATGTCAGGCTGGTGGAGTGACAGCTTTTCGGCCTCCTGTTGATGGATGACCACACTTCGTAAACACTTCGGGGTGGGGCACAGCCGACTATGTCTTGAGAAAGTCAACACCCCTGGCCTTGTGTATCAAGCATGCAACCTGCATACCAGCCCTTACCACCACTGGGACATTACCGGTTCCCACGTGACACTGTACCGGGCCAGGCTGCCTGGCACTTTTGTGATTTTTTTTTTAAGACATGAAAAATCAGTTTTATTTTTCAAAAATAGCCTAGGATACTTTTATGCCTTGGGCTGCCTTGATTTTCTGGTTGATGGGTAGATTAATTACACCAGACTTTCCCACGCCTGAATCGATGGTGGACTAAGACTAGAGCCTCCCAGTTACTTTGCACTCTTCTGTCCTGGTTTTAGAAACCCCTTCCACACTGACTTTTCCTCCCTAGGGTCCCCGGCGATGTGGCCTGGGGCTCTGGCTCACGGGCCGCAGGCACCTTACCTTTTCCTGCAGGTGGCTTATGTTTTCCTCGTACTGGGAATAGTCTTTCTGGCTGCCGGAATCTCTCTCCTGGTGCCATTGCAGAATACGGCTCTCCAGCTTCTGGTTGGCGGCCTCTAGCGCGCGCACCTTGTCCAGGTAGGAGGCCAGGCGGTCATTGAGGTTCTGCATGGTCTCTTTCCCATTTCCGCCTAGCAGGGGACCACTCCTTGGAGCTGCCCAAGCCCCTCCTGGGGGCAGGCAGCTCGGCCTGGAGAAGGAGACAGAGACGCGGGCACCCCCGGCACCGCCGTGGATGCTGGGGGCCCGGGGACAGTTCCCAGGCCGGCCCCAGCCACCTCCTGTTCCACGGAGGGAGGCCGAGTGGCTCTGGCTGTAGCTGCGGCTTGAGTTCATGGTCCCATCTGTGTCTGGGGCTAGGCTGGACTCTGGTTGGCCCCCGGCAGTGGAGGACTGGGCCGTCCGGACTGCTCTGGTGGTTTTATGCCTTTTGCAGTGGGAGTTCCCTCCCTGACAGCTGCACCAACAAGATCCTATCATTGTGCAACACGTGCTCCCTCTTGGTCAATCTCGAAGTGCCCGGGGCCAGCACACGCTGTTGTCCTTTAGAGACACACCAATTCGCCAGCCCGCTTCCTCCCTTTGGGGATAACCTGAGGCGTGGCCATGAAGCTCGGGTGTCCTAATCTGCCCAAGGAATTTTTCCATCCTCTGTTTATTAGGAAAAGGTCAGATCAAAGCCCACAAAGTGATTATTTGGTGTGGTGTAGACTTTCTTTTTAAAAAAAACAGACATGAGCCCCACAGGGACCCAGAGAGAGAGAGACTCCTGAGCGTACAGCTGGATCCCAGGGGCATCTTGGGCCCTGCTTGAAAGCTACCTGCACTGCAGAAGTGTGGAGGGTGCTGGATATCTGATGCCTTCCTGTCGAGGTTGTTTGATGGAAAGTAATTTCAAAGGACTTGCTCTGGACAACAAGCCCTCAATTAGGTATAATTAATGAATGAACGGTGGAAGCTCCTTTTGCCAGCCGCCTTTCCTCCCAGCATACCTCCGAAGCAAACAGCCCGGCCTGTGGCCAGGACCTCGGAGGCCCTAGGAGGAGGGCGAGGCCGCTCACTGCCCTGCAGCACCATCCCTGGCCAAGCCCCGGGGTGGCCAGCTTCTGTGTGCCTGTGATTGGAACAGGGGCCAGCGGGAGCAGGAACCATGTCCGGGGCTGTCAAACATGAGGAGTCTTGCATATCACCACCAGGAGGGAGGCCAGGGAGGAATGCAGGCCAGTGCTGGCAGGGAGCCCTTGCCGGGCCCAGATTTAAAACCTGCGGATAGAATATCAGAGTCAGAAGAGACTTTAACCTTGCTGGTTTGACAAAACTGTTGTCACAGGTGAGGTGGGCAGCCGAGTGGCATCTGGAGGGCAGAAGCGTGGAGGAGTTAGTGGAGAAGCCCCAGGAGGAGTCCTCTGCCATCCCGCACTGTCCCCGGAGAGTTGGATCATGACCGTCATCTCACCCAACACTTCTCTTTCTTGTTGAAGGTGGACTTCCCAGTTCACACAGCCCTGTGTTTGTCTCTCTCCAACCCTGGCTGTCACTCTCGTTAGTGTCCTGACCTTGCCCATCAACATCCAGGGACACACAGGGGTGAGTGGTTCAGAGCTGGTTCCCCGTACAGTGTCATTGAGTCAGTCTGTCACTGTCAACGGCTCAGTCTGTGCTGTCCTCTCAGCTCAGATGGTCACCCATGCCCGCCTTCACTGCAGTGGGAGGGCTCCCTTCCTGAACGATCATTTCTGAGTTCCCCTGCATGAGTCGGGTGCCTCTGAGGAGGAACCTGCCCTGCTTGGGTCCAGAGCCTTCCAGTGGGGCAGACCTCTTGGCATCCCTGCCTCGCCCAACAAGCTGGAGCCCCCTCTCCCGCGCCCCCCGCGTCATTGTCGTCATTGTCGTGAGCTGCTGTGACGACAGCCTGGAAGTCAGGAGCAGGCCTTCCACCGACAGAGCTCCGGAGCCCAGCTTCGTAGCCATTCTATGCAGGGGAAGTTAAGTCAGTATCGGGGTGTTTAGAGTCAATATTCCAACTTCGTGCCCATCACCTCTACCCCTGTTCAGAAGGAAACTTACATCGGGAGAGGAGGAGGCATCATCATGAAGGCTGATCCATTTCCATTGCAGATAAAAGGGGAAAAGGGGAGAAGGGGAGAAGCACTTGACCTTGCTGTCTCTGTTGAATGAGATGTGATTCCAGGAGGACCGTCAGGCCTGCTCCTCACCCCTCCACCAAGGGTGGGGGGGACGGCTTGCCTCCATGTCCTCTGGATTCCTCAGTGGCCACCCTCCAGGCCACTCTGATGGGCTGTGCAGCTGGGCTCTCAATCACAGGGCCCCTCCTTCAGTCTGGAGGGATCAGAAGGGATCCGGACCTGGGAAAGCACAACTCCGCCCAACCCTGCTACAAACCTCAGCAAGGAATCCTCTGGATTCCCCTCCTCTCCCTGTGCATGGGTTGGAATATTTAGCCACAATGAAAGGAAGGCTAGGGAGTGCTGGAGGCAGGAGGGGAGCTGTGCTGTGAATGTGGCCAAAGGCTGAGGCTGGCTGTAGGATACCAAGGGATTGGGCTGGGCGGCAGTGCTGCGGGGTGATCTGGTCATGAGGGCGGTGGCGGCATTAATGGGTTAACCCATGAATGCGTGAACTAACAGGTCAGTGGGCTCTCCTGAGAGTGGGTCTGTCCTAAAAGCCAGTCTGACTCTAATTCTTGTACCCAACTCCCAGGTAGGGTACCCCAAACCGCTGCAGGGCCCTGCCCAGCCCCGCCCACCAGGAGGCCTTACCAAATGCCACCCCTTGACCTTGGGCGTCACAGCCTCCAGAAGTATAAGGGATACTTGCTCAGCTATTCTGTCACAGCAGCTGAGAACAGGTGAAGGGGGACCTGGTGAAACTTAAGCCAGGGAGGGGTTTTGGATGCGTGGTGGTAAGCAGTGTTCCGGTGGGCACAGGTGGCTTCCAGGCACTGGTTAGGACTCAAGCTTCCTGTCCATGTAGACCTAGGCATATGCAGGAGGTGAAGTTAGCCCGGTGTTTTCATGGGCCACACACTGTCTCTGAATTTTCACAGCATAATCTACCATTGAGCTGGTCATTTCCCTGTGACACCAGGTTGTGTATGGAGTAGTTGTGTAAGTTCAGCCCAAGCCACATTTATCTCCATTGTGGGAGTTTAGATTTATAGGCGTTAACCCAGGACAAATCGTGCCTTGGGTTATGCAGCAGGACCAGGATGGGGAAAAAAATTGGTGGTGACATTTGAAAGGAGAAGCCATCGCTTCAACTACCATCACGCAATCAGCTTTTCTTCTAACTTCTGATGTGTGGAATTTCATTGGATTTTTTTTTAAAAAGTAATGACTTCATTGGGTTTTAAAAAAGTTTAAAAAATGTGATGATGGAAGTGGCAGTTTCTTGTAAAAATTCAATTGACATATGGAAGTACAAGGAAAAAAGATTTTAAAAGAAACACTCTAATTCTAACTCTAATTCTACTACGCAGACATAATTATCGATACAATTTAGTGACCATGATTTTGGATACATTTGTGTGTGTGTTTTGGAAGACATGGGTGGCTAGAAGAATTAAACAGATGGGTTTGTGTAGTTTATTTTATTTTAGAAAGAATTCAGTTGTTTAAAAATGTGGTTGACAGATAAGAAACTAAAATGTATTCGCTTTACATATTTTTGAAAGGACTGTGAAACATTTATCGCGTTCTATTAAATTTCACGCCTACACAGAGTGAGATGGGCTGCAATTGCCAGTGTTTGTGGAATCACAAGAGGAGAGAACGTTGAGATGAAGGCGTCTGCTAAAGATTTCTGCTCCCGTTAAACCACCAGCAAACCGCTGAGCTGATTTTAAAACTGGGTTGAAGAATTCCACTGCTTCTTCAGTAGAAGCCCAATGTTTAACCACTCTCTTGTTCCAGAGAATTTCTTCAGAAGTGTGGCTTTAAGAATTTCAAATTTTTTTATATCTGTGGAGTTCAAATGGTTCAGAATCAAAATTCTCCATCTTGGCATGACTTTCCACTTAACAGATGCATGATTTTCACATCTGGTTCACCACTCTGTGATGCTGTCACAGGAGGGGTGGTGGTTCCTAGGTGGGAGGGAGGGAAGAAGGGTGGCCTGCGGTGGCCCCGGGGTCAGCGGGGCCCTGGTGACAGCTGTCATCGCCTGAAGGGCATTCTGTTCATGCCGTTTAAAGACAGTCCTCCCACCACTAAAGCAGGCTCCTTCTCTGGATGGAAGAATGGCCAGTGTGATGGCGGATATGCTTTTACCCAGTGGTCACAGGCAGAATCACCATGTCATTACCCTACGACTTGGAGGGTTTTATAAAAAGACAGAGTCTTTGTAAAAATAAAACATAGGGTCTGCAGTTTGGATCAGACATTTTCCTAGTGCCTTGCTTTCTTGAGTGATAGCCAAATTAAAAAGAAAAGAATCGATTGTCTCATATTTTTAATTATTGAAGAAAAGGAGAGTAGTAGATAGAAGAAATTTAAGAAGTGTGTCATCCAGTATTTTGGACTAGAAAGAAAAGGAAGGTCAATGTTAAATTTGCTTTCAAAGAGGATAGAGTGACTACTGAAATAAAGGAATAAAATAATTTTAAAAAGAACTTGTTCTCAAGTGATAGCTAATAAGACAGCCATGGTAAGAATCCCTCTTAACTTGGCTTTGATAAAAGAGAAGGAAATAGAAAGGGATGTGTCTTGGTTACTTTTCTGTCATTGCTGAGACAAAATATTTGACACCCCAAATTAAGGGAGGAAGAGTTTGTTTAGCTTGCAGTTTGTGGAGGTAATCAGCTGGCTCCAGGGCAAGGTGGCCCAGGGTAACGGTTCAAGGTGGCAGAAGACAGGAAAAATAGCAAGAGCAAAAGAAAAGCCTCTTTCCCACCACCCTCTGGGCTAGTGCAGTACTCACACCCTCTCCCTGCATTCCTCCTGCTCAGGCTCAGGATGTTTACAAAGTGAAGGCCTGGCCCCCTGCTGAGTCCTTATAAAGGTCTAATTTTCTCAAGTTGACACAATGTATCAACCCATGCAGGGTGCAGAAGTGAACAGAAGTTAAGAGTTAGGGACTTGGAAGAGGCCAAGATAGGAAGAAGAAAGGAAAAACAGCTCTCACTCCAGGAGGTCCCTATCTATGGAATCCAGGTCAGTAAAACCTCACTGGGGCCCTGGTCTGTATTAGCACAGCTCCAGGTGACTGGGACACACTTGCAGAAGTGGGAGATGTGTTTGTTGCCTGCTGCTGACCCCCGGCTCAGTATCCAGCCACCCTGGGATGAGAAGGGCTGGAGCCCTAGCTCGGGATGACTCACCTTTAATTACCCTGAATGGCCAGCTCCAGCAGGCCCTCAGTGCATGCCTGCTAAACTAGGTCTCGG